GTCTATAATGGAGTTAGTGGAAAGCGGTCACCGGTGACAGCTTGGGGATTGATCGGTTGTACCTACTTTGCGCCAATAAAGTCTAAGGGTGCTTATGCCTTGACAAAAGAGCAGTAAAAGTTTTCTTGTATTAGATATACCTAAGTAGCGTGTCCTTCTGATTAAAGCATTAAGAGATTCTTAAAACAAAACACCTATCCATGTTCATGACTTTATTTATAAACACGTTAACTTACACAACAAAGCCTCAAACCGTCAATATTAAACAGATTCACAACATAAAATAACTCCTAAACTTTACCTCAGCACAGAGCTATTAAACAAAAGCGATGTCGTTTCCAGTAAAACGTTAGACCCTTGTTAGAGATGGTCTAAAATTATGGTGACCCGATCAGTTGTGCAACTTGTCCAAGTTTGGATTGTGGTCGCAGAGTTGTGGTAGCTGCCATTACGGTCCTTTCAAGGAGAAAATATGGTGACTGGTTGGTCGTGCTCCGTAGACAATGGATTTAAGTTAAATCCTGTTTGTGGAATGTTTTTTTAACCAAGATTATGATGGGAAATGTTCATTTGGTCTACTAATTTGTCATTTAAACTGTCAAACACCAAGCGGTCACCGGTGACCGCGACCTATTGTTCTTTAATTGTGTCTATAAAACCGGTACTCGACGAGTTAAGTCTTAGTTATAATGTCTTATGGGTCCAATTAGTGTGTTTTGGACGGTAGTATTAAGATTTTGTCTGTTACGATAAAGGGAGGAATGTTTTTTAACTAAGACTATGATACTACATTTCTCATGTTTATTTTGTCTACTAATTTGTCATTTAAGTCTTATTTTTAATGTTTTAAGGCTCCAATTAAAGTGTTTTGGATTGTAGTATTAAAATTCTGTCTGTTATGATAAAGGGAGGTTCATTCATCAAAAGAAGGATCAAGAGAACACACGGAGAAGAATAGAGCATTAATCACCACGTTTGCTCAATGCGGGTTAGCGATTTCAAACTTATAATTAAAAGTTATAAGCCCAGGTTTCCTCACGATGTTTTCCTTCACCGTTTGTCAGTGGTGTCTGAATAATCATATGAATTACGTCACTATTGTTAAATGCAGTACGCGAGTGTATTGCCATCATACAAATATATTCTGTATTATTAGCATAGAACCATTCACGTTGTGATATGTTTTTTTTATAATGTTACAATTTAATTCTCCAGTATGTATAAACAGACTTTTGGTCCGTGCCCTTGTCATACATTTCTTTTTTATCACAATACGTCTAATCAATTTTTATAAAGTAAATAGAGAAGATACCTATGTTATGATATGTTAAATACTTATGCTGGAATACTGAAACGTTACTCAATTTTAAGTCGTGCTTAAATATCGTGCCATCTCTGTCATTTCACAAAGAATTTGTAGAGACAGAACTATACTTAAACGCGACTTAAAATTGAGTAACGTTTCAGTATTCCGGCATTAACATTTTAAAACATCATACATCCGAAATTCTCATAAAATCCAAATCAATACCAAACAGTAACAAGTCAACCGACTAGTCGAGAGACTAATCCAGATACAAGTTGGCGAATAAATTATGCAAATACAAGCCGTCGTGTTAAGAGGGTTGGCTTGGAAGTTATCAGACGGCGTACTTGACTCTTGAAGATCAACTGCTCACTCGGGCCAGTGAAGCTGTTCTAACTGCTAATGAGATTGTATGCGACTTACTAAAGATATCAGATGCGTAGGCGTTGTTAAATGTATAGCTGAATATTCTCTAGTTAAATTGATGTGTTGTTTGAAAATTGTTGGAGTTTTCTTATGTATTGTACACAGAAATGTGAACTAAGTTACTGACTATAGAAAATCTATATTCATTTGTCATGAATGAGTTGAACCTACGTGTACAAACTGATACAACATTTTGAAGAAAATAAACAATATCCCATTGCAAAATGTATCCAACACATGTAGATAATAGTATGATAGAAGTCTGTTAGAGGTCGAATTTCCAAAAATAATGAGACATTGATGAATGAGATGCTGCTCAAAAATTTTATTTTCTTTCCAGCCAGATGGCATTTTGCGTGAAACCTATGTGGTTCGATAATTATTATTGTAAGATTTTAAGGAGTTTTACAAAATTCATCCTCATAACGCATTCTTCAGAGACAAGTTTCAAAGCAAAGGGCAAGGGGTCTCGGGTTCGATTTCCGGGTCGGGCAAAGTATAATATAAGTCTGGAAATGTGCCCGGTATATGGCAATAAGCTCACCACCGATTACATGAGACTCATTACATACCTACATAGTGAAAAGTGGATGTTACTTCTGTGTGCACCTCTGCCTACCCCTTCGGGGATAAAAGGCGTGATGTTATGTTAATTTAAGTTTCAAAGCAAATTATATTATTTTTGTGGTATCAATCTGTGAAGACAGTTAATTATTATGTTTTTCGGTTTACTCAAGTAATTAATTGAAGTAGTTGAACTAGTTTCAAGCCATACTAGAGGCTCATATTCATGAGGAGCATTCCGCGACCCGCGACGCGGCAACTATCGCACTCACAGAAATATTAAAAAAGTACTTCTTTATTATATCTATGATCGCGCTGCTACTCGCGCAGAATCATAATAATGAACTTAGTATGTCTCACGAAAGTTATAACATAAATACCATACAGTTATTTATATACCTATAACGTTATTAATTCGCACTAATTTAGATCTGTAAGCGGAACCAATTATACCAATATACTAGACACATAACGAACCAAATTGTTCGATTTCGTAGAACCCCGTTCCAACACTTTCAATCAATACCCCGCCCACTGAATTACGTGTAAAACTAATTTGCCTGTCTTTCGATTGGACTCGAGCTAATGACGCCTATGGCACATACATTAAATTACTTTGACTGATTTTCAACCTAATTGATTTGTAATAAAGTTTATAATCATGACGTCACGGTAGTCTCGGTTTCAGGGTTTAGACATAGGGTTAATTAGGTTAAAGTGGTAGAGGTGCACATGCGCAATACATAATTGGGTACACCTTACGAATAACATTTTTTGTCACCATTGAGACAATACGGTTAAGAAATTCAGACAATGTTAATGTTTGTTAAAAGATTCTGAATAAACTCCTGTTATAAACCTCATATGACAGAAAACTGTACTTTAAGTACCTACCTAATACCTAATGTAGTTCTGTCACTACCAATTCTTTGTAAAATGACAGAGGTGGCACGATATAACTTAAAATTGATTAGCCATTGAGTATTCATATAAGTACTGCATAATCATCATCAATCAGTCTAAATTTCACACTTCACAAAATTCCAATATCAATGTCATAACTACGAATTTCAACGCTCACCAACTAAGGTGTAAAACTAATTCGCCTGTCGCCATTTTAGATGTAACGTTTAATTGACAGTGATGACGTCACGCCCTAGTGTCAGATCTAAAACTCATGTATTATTTACGTGGGTGTCAGACACCGTGGGCGATGTTTGCGATCATAATTAGTTTGTGTTGGCAATATTTCATTTATTAGTAGATATAATATAATAATAGATTCTGTTAAATGTTATTTAGATATTGAGAGATAGATGGCCTTTTGTTTCTTTAAATAGAAGCGTTGTTTTGAAGTGTTTAACGAAAATTGTGTATGTATGTCCAGTAATTTCGCGTCATCATATTAAAACTCCTTAAAACATAGATATACCTACTCGTTTTATAACCAGTGGCCTATACCTTTTTTTAAGGAGAGAAAATCATCCAATAACTTCTCCCGCCTGGGTGAGGCGGGAGGGAGTGTCAGATTCTTACTGACTAAAAACCACCACGTTCCTTCTCCTGCACTTCGAGCCGGAGCCCCTGTAACCCGTTAGGTTCTCCGCGACAGTACATCTATGGCTAGCAAATCAATAACCAAAATATCTAACTAAGAACATAACAATACCAAATTGAATTAGACAAATATCATTGCTTACAGCCCGACCTACATGAAATTTACCATCGATTACCAATTGATTGACCAAGACAGTAATCGTAATCCTTCATAAATAATACAATACAATACGTACAACAAATTATAATACAAATACAAACAACAAAATAATCTTAATATTCTCTGTCATAAATACACGAGGCTTATTACCTGTGTATTTATTATTTACTAGCAAACTAGTGAGCCAATGGTTCGTGAATAATTTGGTTCGCCCATTAATGTCCTGTTCGCTGGTCAACCTGCACTGTTTACACATGCTAGTCTTGTAATTAAACTGATTTATTGATAAATCAGTTAAAAATAGTTCATTGGCTTTCGACAGACATTGTAGCTATGTAAATAAATACATAAAATAAATAAAAATCATTTATTAGTAACAACAGATTACGGAATTTATAAATTGAGATTGGAGTCTCATTTTAAGCAAGATAGGCTTGTGTTCTTTTAACAACACGTACATAATAAACTTCCATAAATACAAGTATTGCTTATTCTAATTTAATGTCTGTTTGAATTTATGTAAAGTCTAATATTTAGTTACATTTTTAATATCATATAGGCTATGTACCTAATCAAACATAAACAAGTATGTGGCCAGATGTACAGACGACAATTAGTGCTAGCGCTAGCGCAGATAGGTGTGTATATACTGGTATAGGTTTATAGCTATGTATGGTGACGATATTTTTGTGGAGGTTGAATTCCTCTGCTTGAAAGACATCATATTTGCTGTGGACTCGGTACTTATCTTTTAGTCTAGACATATGGTATTTGTCGTCTTGGCGAATACATATGTGAATAGAAAAATCAATGTTATAATCGGTATACATTGATTTTTTATGTGTAATGCTCATGCGATTAATAATTCTATGGTACATTGATTTTGGCTAGACAAGCCAATTCTACTCCAACGTACTTTCTCTCATGCAGGAAAAGCTTACTGTCTATATTGATATTCAATATTAATATTATTGTTCATTGTTACAGACGCCAAACAGCAGAGGAACGCGAAGCAGAGCGGCAAGCTGCAAACCGCCTAATGCTATCTCTTCAAGCTGAAGCCCTAAGTAAGGGTTACATGCCAGAACCACCACCCGGCTCAGCACAGCTCTCAGCATTACACTATCAGAACTCCACCAACCCTGCACAAGCCCAACCTTCGAATACTGCATTAAGTGCTTTACAAAATCTACAACCATGGGCTGGTAATCAAAGTAACTTTATAAATGCACAAGCGGCGACCGCACAGCCGCCACACCCGCCGCCAGTGGCGTCACCTATATGTTGATTCGTAGATTAAGTTTTAGAAAAGGAATTGTCTATGTAAGGCGTACTGGCTAAGTATAAAGTGCGTTTATACGGATTTGAATTTCGAAGGGAGAAGTTACAGTTATAGTCTGCAAATAATGTAAAGATTTTCGTAGAAATTCGTCAGAATTTTTTTTTTGTTTGCCGTCTGTTATTTTAATTGCCAGTTATATTGTCATGATACAATTGATTAGGAAACTCTTTGAGGGAAACAAAACTGTAGGAACTTATTCTATTAAAAAAAAACTGTATAATTCCAGTAAAAAATGTGTTATTTGTTCATGTAAAGCAATCAGTTTTATTTGTGTAGAAATGGTAAATTTATTTACGTACAAAATATCTGAGAATTGCTTATGCCCAAAGCTGTGAAAATTGTTCTGTCACTTGACAAAATAATTTACTTTCAACCTTCAATAAAAGACATAAATTGCACAAGTTATATAAAAATCGATTACAATCAAATTAGCTTATCATACAAAATTATTTCAAGCGTAATAAATAAATGATTACCTACTATTATATGAATACAGTACCTATAGGATTATAATTACTTATTTCTACTCAATTTATTATTGAAATTCGCCTCTAGTCCACGTAATCTACAATAAAAAATACAATAATACAAATACATCAGATTACTTACGCTCTTTTGTATTTTTAAATTATAAGTAGCAATAAAATAATTCTTAAGTATAAATGTAAATAAATTTTATCAGTATTATAATTGTAGTTATTTAATTATAAGATTATTAATGTGTAATAGTATATTCTCTAAGTCTGCTTATATGATATGTAGCGAAGAATGTAAATGATTAATTATGGACCTTTTTATTATAACTAAAATTGTAATAAATATGTAGTCGTATGCAAGATTTTTGGCGTGATTGTACTTAAAATAATAATAATGATACAAGATATTACGCTGCTTTAATACATTTAACTCAATTTTATTATGTACATTGGCTATATATTATATAATCGTTTCTATTCTATCCACTGGATTATTCCGATCGCAGCATTCAGCAATAATACTACCCCATAAGTCTATAAGTATTGATATATTTAGATAATAAAATAATGTACAATTACTGTAAATATTAATAAGTTTATACTCTTCGTATTTTATTTTTAATATTCACTCGGATCTCAATACTTATCTAACATTTAATATACAACAAAATCAAAAAATGTAATTAGGTAATGTATACTTATGCTATTATAAAAATAAATATTTCATGAAATAAATATTACAAAATATAATTTCTTATTTTCTAAAATAAAATAAATTGCGCGTTTTAATAGAAGCCTCATTTGTATGAATGTAGAATTGAATAGGTACAATAAAATATAAAATTAATTCAAATAATTTTCTCGAACAACATTGAGAGACAACTGATGTTTTAATCATAAATTATATTTATTGTTTGAAATAATAAGTGGCTTTTTATGAAATTTAAAATGTAATACATTCCAAGTGAAAAATAATTTGTAAATATTAGTTGTATAATTACGTATAATAAGATATAAGCGAAGTAGCTCAATTCACTGTGAAATTTGTCTTATATTGCGTTATTTGTATTAGAAATGTAAATTATTGTATAATTGTCGAATTTTCATTGCGTTGGCTACATACACAAGGTGAACGTTTTAATAAAAATATTGAAATATCTATGTTTGTTTATTTTATTCAAAATTGACCCTTACTGTCATTTTACTTCAGTGCTAATCACAACTAGGTTAGGAAAAAGAAAAAGGCCCTGAGAAAAAGAAATCGAATATGTTCCATTTATAGGTACTTAGACCCAGAATATTCCCAGGACACTCATTGATATAAAATATTTCTGCTATTTTCAAAGATTATTTAAGTATTTTTGGAGGATTTCTCAGTTTCCTTTAAATAAAAACTTGCAAATGAAATAATTTGATAATTCTCAAAATAAAACATACCTATTTCATTATTCCAATTATTAGTAGTATTTATTTTGTAAACTATTTTTTAATTATTTAAACAATTTTACTTGATCATTCGGTCTAAAATCTAACAAAAAAAATATAATTACCGAACCAATTTTACAGAACCAAGTAAAGTATTCCTAAAATTAAGCATTAATATTATGAAAAATTGTGAAGATTGCCTCGTTGGCCGAGTGGTCGCAAGTGCGACTACCGGGTACCCCTCACCTGGTTCAGGTTCGATTTCCGAGTCGGGCAATGTATTACTATTGGGTGTTTAAAAATATTATCTAAGGGTAGTAGCACAGAGTCTGAAATTGGACCCGGTATATGGCAATAGGCTCACCCCCTATTACATTACATGACACTCCCTCTTGACTCATTCGGGTGGCGTCAGCGGTGCGGAGGTTACACGCTTCAAAAAAGGTAAGCTATTGTATTTTATTTTTCGTAACAAAGAGTAAGTTACAACATTCTGAACCTTCAGTCATCCCCAGATGATTCTGGATATATTCCTAGTCTACATAACGAGAAGTGAAAGAATTTGAAAATTGATTAATTTTACCTGCTGAAATAACTAACGGGTATCATGTATTAAGGTCATAGCAAAATTAACCGGGACGGCTCCAGTACGGCTTCAACCCAGCAATTAATGTGGCATTTAAATATGAACATTACGTCTTATATCATACGACATTTTTCATCATAAAAAGCTAACAGCGCACTTACAATCTTTTGTACTGTCACCATATCGAAAAACGCCGTGCCTTAACCATGCTTATTAAATATGTAATGACTTTTAAACGTCAAATAAATTACCTACCATGACTAGCATCAAAGGTTTTATAGTGTCGCACTGACCGCGTGCTGACCGTTAGCGCTGTCAGCCGAGATGTAGTAACTTCTAGGTAGCGTTTTGAATGACGCGTGGCTATCAGCGCGCACGGTTCCCGTAAGTTCATATTTCTCGGCTGTCAGCGCTGACGGTCAGCGTGCGGTCAGCGCGACACTGAAACCAGCCTAACAACGCCACAAATGTTTTATCCTAAAATAAATTAAGATCACAGACTCATTGCACCATATAAAAAGAACCGACCAATCACATACAATACAGTAGGTAAGACTTATGATACAAAAGTCAAAATTTAAAACATATTTGAACTAAAAAACGCGGCGCCCCGTCTAAATTACACAGTGCACTACAAACGGAAAACAATTGTCCACAAATCGTAAAAAAAAACTAAACGAAATCGATTTTAAACAAAAAATGGCCGCGTTTCCGTCCACAAATCGACGATTTAGCGACAATTAGATATCCATTTTGAAGTTTAATACAATTTTAATACCAAGAAGGCTTTATATAATAACGAAGCATTAAAGATACGTGACTCCCGTACTGTCATTATGACGTTTTGTTTTATGAAGCGTAGATAAAAAAAAACTAAACTGATTGCTTTTGGTAACCCTACCATTTTGTGCTAATCGCTTTAGAAGGCATCCATTGACGTTTTGCTATAGAGCAATGCTTTGTAGTCTATACTAAAGCAGTAATGGTAAGAAATAATAGTTTTAATTTAAGACAGGATCTACAATATTTCTGTAATGGGAATCCTTAGGGGTGTCATTGGAGGAAAATGGTTAAAGGTCACAATAAGTGTGATTTACACTATTATTTTTACAAAAACGCTTCCCCGAAATTGTAATTGCAATTGGTTTTTACAACCACCATTTTAACCAAGATTTTAATGGATATAGGCGTTTTTTTAAGGGGGGAAAATCATCGAATGAATGCTCCCGCCTAGGATAAAGGGGGTAAATAGATGCAGACAGATCACCTGATGTTAAGGGAGCAAAAACAGAATAAATACAGGTGTGTTGCTAGCCTTTTGAAAGGAGCTCTTTTACCTTAAAGTTACATAAATGACAATATTCGGTTTCATTACAATGCTTACTGTATCAAAGAGCTTTTGTCATGCTCTGCCATAAAATATTGTCGTACACGTAACCGAGCAGACGGATCACCTGATGGTAAGCAATCGGCGTCGCCCATGGACACCTCTTCAACATTAGAGGCGTAGGTAACAAGTGCGTTATCGGCCTTATGGGGATTAGGAATTTGAGGATGCTTAGGAATTCAAGGACTGGGCAGATTGGCGAGGGGGGGAGGAGGGGAATTGGGCCTCCGGTAACCTCACTCAAACGACGCAACACAACACAGGCGTTGTTTCACGTCGCGAGTCAGTTTTCTGTGAGGCCTTGGTATCACTCTGGTCGAACCGGTCCATTCGTGCAAAAGCATGACTCGCCCACACCTGCTTGATCTGTATTCAAAAACTTTGGATAATCGGATGGATGATAAATATGTCTCTAGTAGACAGATCTACCAACAGAGGCGTCATTAAGAATGTCTATAACACGCTCCTAAAACTAATAATACTTAGGTATATATTTGAGAAATAGATATAAAAACAAACTGGAAGTCATTAGCGTACGCACTAATTACGGTAGAAAGACTTTATTATATGAAGGAGTACATCTGTTCAATGCATTACCCGACGATATCAAAGAGTGCGATAACGTGAACTGCTAATACTTTGGAGGAAATTTGTATTGTACCTACTATTTTTGTTTATTACTTTGTATCTCATTATAATCGGACTGTATGTTCTTATGAGAAATAAATTTCTTTAAACCGAACCGAGGTAATATCTAAAATTAAATTTTACAAAAAAAAAATATAACACTTTTCTGAACGTAGATTTCCGTTCACAATTTAATTTAAAAAACAAAAACCTACGAGCAATCGTAACAATTTTGTCTCCAAATTCAAATTGCTGTTCGTTCTAAAACAGTCATATTAAAATAATGGGCCCTCAAAAAAACCTTTAAAACTGTTTTTTCCTGTATCGCGTGACGTTTGTCTCAAATTAGTCACAAAAGTCGCAAGGGCACGTCGGGAATCGAAACAGGGACCAATTGTAATAGGTGTAGCGTGCAAACTGCCGTATTAGAGAATGTAGTGATGTTAACATAGATTGGCATATGAAGCTGGCATAAAACTGTCAAAAGTTATTGTCAATTCGGTGATATTTTTTTTTAATGCGGGCAATAGAATTTTGTATACTACTCGTAGATGAAAGACGCATAACGTATATGAAATTAAGTTGCATTAAAACGT